TTAATTATTTGTAACAATTTATCACTTTCGTCATAACTTTCATGAATTAAAACATAAACATCTTCATAGCCGCCATTTTTAAGAATGGTTCCAGTTATTCTCAAAAACAAGGACATAAAAATCACAAAACGCGTTGTATGCATTTTCTTTTTTTTCGTTAAGAGTAACCTTAGATATAAACGCTAAAAGTTTTAAATTCACGTGAAATACTACACGATTCACAGTAACATAATATCATTGACAATTGTGATTTAGTTGGGTGTTGTACTTTTTTATCTATTTTACTACTGCTGAATTTTAAAATGTGTATGTCCTTGAAGTGTATTTCACGGCATGTAACTTGCTGTTTAATATGGTTACCACTAATCTATCATGATGACGCGCTAAAATTACCGGATGTTTAAAGTTCATGTCGCTTTAAAAAATCCTATTACGTTACCCAAAAATCATGAGTTCAGCCGATCCCTATATGAACATGTTTTTTTTCACCAAGATTGTCGTCCTTTCTTGATTTATTGTATCTATTTAATTCGCAACATGTTTGTACACGAAATATAAATTTTAATATGGCCCACACATGCAAACACTTTTAAAAACCAAATTCTATGTTCCCCCTGGTACGTGTATGTCGTTAAGAGGCAAATGGCATCGGCAATAAATTTGAAAAAAAAAAATCTTTGGACGGCAAAAGAAAAGAAAACCTGACAATCTGCCGATACCTTGATTTAACCGTGAGAAGAGTCCCTACAAACTAGGTAGGGCGACGAAGAGGAGCAATAGGGTGCGTGGGTTGTTAGTAGTAGTAACGAGTTGAAAAGCGAACAATTCGTTTGCCACCCCAACAGACCTTAACAAACAACATTCTTTATTATTGTCACAGGTAACTGTACGTTCTAGATCTCATTGGCGGTTGTACAGTGACTTACATTTTGGCTCAAAATTAATCTCTTTGGCTTTTATTCAGTGGAAATCGCATTGGGGTAAATAACCACCACTTTGTGCTTCAAAATCAAATATTTCAGTGCATTACGTTTACTTGTGATAGTCCGCGGTCCGTGCTGGATTGTCAGTCTTTGTTGACCAATCCTAATAAAAGTTACATACTTCCAGATGATCCAAAAGATTTGAACAAAATCAAACGTGAGAAAAATGAACTGTGGTTTTAAGAAATTTAAAACAATTCGAGATTGAAGAAGAAATTTATATGTAATGTATGACCGATTTTGCAGTATTTAGCATAATATTTCAACTGCGTGTCTAACACAAAAATGGCTGTTTTTACTTATTTTCCTTTTTTTAGTGTTTGCATAAGTCGTATGCGCCGTTTTCAACTTGTAAAAACTTTCTTTGTTCATTTCTCAATTTTAAACTTTGTTATACATTTTCAAAATTTTTATGAAAATAAGCACGTACATCATTTCCTGTTTACTTTCTTATATCTATTATATCTATATTGTAGTAATAATGCTCTTCATTAAAAGAAATAATGAAAGATTCTTATCGTTTGAGTCCGCAAAAGAAAAATATAACACGACTTATTGGTGTAATGGTTTATGCATAAGTGCTACTTACGGCCCGATAACTTAACTGCGTTTCTCTACACAACTTGTGTCATTCGAAGTATCAAACAGCTATGATAAATCAGTTACAAATTTTTTACCGTTTAGCCCTCGTCCGTCTATTCGCCTGTGCGTAATAAGTTTTTGCAATGCTTAGAAAAGAACTTAATTTTGTCAATGAAACCTTAAACATAGACAGTGTGCTATACATGTATGCAGATAATGCTCACTATTTTATTTTGTTTCTATGTTGAAAAAAATGTTTGTTTTTGTTTTTGCAACAAATATACTAAGTCTTGAAAACTTTTAGAAAATGGTGATTCAAAAACTTAAATTTGTTACATCTTTTGATACTCGGAATAACGGTCAGTTCACATGCCCTGCGCCATAACTCACAAATTCAATTTTTTAACCTTCCAAAAATCTACATATCCTTGAATATGTCTCAAACCTATTTATACATTTGTTTCAGACTTTATACAAATATTATTCGTGTTAATATTAGTTGGCACGATAAATTTCATAACCCTTTTCATTATGTTGAAATTTGTTCAGATAATAAAGGAAGTTTTTTTTGTATAATTTTTTCTCTTATACAGATTCTCTATAATCTTACTCATGCTCTGAAGAAGACATTAAAAGACATTTTATTTATTTATTTACCTACCTACCTATCTACCTACCTACTTCATTTATTTATTTATTTATTTATTTATTTATTTATTTATTTATTTATTTATTTATCTATTTTTATTTTCTATTTTTATTTTTGTTGTTGTTGTTGTTTGCGTTTTTTTCTCTTTAAGGAAAGGGGAATGGGGAACGAGTAGCTCATTATTTGTAATACATGTAAATAAAATATACTTTTTTATTAAAACTGTATCAGATATTTTCAATATCCGTTGTATACAAAATGCTTTCAAATACCCATGGATTTATAACGTTACTTTAAACATTATCACCGGCAGACACTTTGGGTGTGGAGATGTAAATTTCTAAAAATCCAAATAGATTTCTCAATGCAAGGCACATACAGTTATCACATGTATCAATAAAACCTTATTATTTCAGCAGTTTTGAAAAATAAAATCATAAAAATATAAATCATAAAATCATAAACAATTATAAATCATACAATCATAAACATAAATACATCATAAAATCATAAACATACATGTATATAAATCATAAATATACACAAGATAAAAGTAACACGTCAGCGCTAAGAGCAACGTTTGTAGTTGTCGAAATGTTTTGTAAATGGAGTAAAACGGCGATAGTTTTATTATTTACTGAAGTTTAAAATTGACCGTGACATGTACTGCAGCCATGTAGAATTCTTAGAATTCTTAGAAAGAATAGTCGTATGTATGTTTCATGTGAATATTTGTATAAAAATGTATGTATACGAATAATACAAAAATAAAATAGAGAAAGTAAAAACCCCTAAAGAAGGTAAAAAAAAAATTGAAAATGTTGCAGGCTTGGCTTAATTGAGCATGTACATGGACGGTACTGTCAAGTGCAAACTACAGTCCACGCCCCCAAGCACCCGCTTGAAGCAGAATTCAACATTTAAACATGGAAATTGTGAAATTTTGAATGTAGAAACATCCGCAGATGTGTTCATACGGCGGTTATCATGGAACCTTCAATACGGCACATTCATGCCATTCTATGAAAATCAGCGAATGGTTCCCAAGTTATAAAAAGCTTGTGCCTAAAACAGGAAAACAATGGGCGGAACCAAACATAATTGAATTTTAAAATGAGGATCAGAGCTTATGGAGTCTGCATATGAAGTATGAATATATAATTCTATCCGTTGATCTAGTAGTAAAATATATAACAATTGTTATGCAAAGACGTTAGTGATACAAATGTTTTCATGACAACATGATATATCAAGTGGTACAAATGTAGTTATGGTGATTTAATAGATGATAGTGCTAAATTTTGTGTCATGTTATGTAAAACATCCAACGGTTACAAATTTATGAATTGCAATATCAAACTTGAAAGACGAAAGTGACAAAATTGTCTTATTTATGACAATACTATTATAGACATAAGTGGTACATGAATATAAAAGAGACTAGCTATCCTACTTTTGAAAAATAAAACTGACAGAAAAATAAAATTGTCAAATTTACAGAAAATAAATATAACAAATTTAAGACATTCATTGTAATGTGAGGTTAGTGATATTGTTTAAATTTTGTTACCTTTTCATCAGTTAAATTGTTTAATAATTCGACCTTGACGGTCAATTAAAGGCCAGAGAAATATTAGAATAATTAGCATGTCGGTTTTGTAATATGTGTTCTTTTGTTCAAGTATATATCAGATTAGTAAACAGATAAAAAAGTTATGACAATTCAATATTTTTTTCCAATAATTTGACCTTTACATTTAGGGTCAATTAAAGGTTATCTGGTATAAGAATAAGTAAACATCTCGATTTTGTCACTTGTGTTCTTTTTTCCAAGAATAAATCAAATCAGTCAATGAACATAAAGTTCTAAAAATTTTAGAAGAAAAAATCTCAATAATTGGCCTTGACATTTAGGGTCAATTAAAGGACAATGCTGTGTTAGAATACTACAACGTGTCGGTTTTGTCATTTGTGCTGTTTTGTCTAATTATAAATCATATCCGTAATTAAACAACGACAATGGAAGCAGCTTTCAATAATTTATTTTGACGGTCAAGGTCAAATAAAGATCAAGGCTATTACTGACAATTCATCATACGGGTTTTGTTTTAAGGGTTTTTTATATCCAATCCGTAAATAAATAAAGTTATGACACTTTAAGCTAAATTCTCTATTTGACATTGACAGTCAATGTCATTAAAATGTCAAAGTCATATTTAAATAACATTACTTATCAGATTTATTAAATATTCTCTTATGGAAAAATAAATAACTAAGTAATGGCCAATTGTAGCAGAATTTAATGATTTGACCTTTAGTGTCAATGTTAAGTTAAGGCCAAGGTCAAGTTATAATAAATCTTCTTTAAACAATCAGTTCATTACTTTAAAGGTTAAAGTCAATTATAGCAAAAATAATGTGAATTACAACAATTCGACCGTCAAGGTAAATGACGTTTATGAATAAATGTCATAGTTATTTTGATTTTCTTTAAGATGGACATGCATCAGCATGAAGGTATTCAATATATGATAAATCGACTTTTTATCGGTAAACCTTGAAAATCAATACTATTTAATTTAACCATTTTATTCCATAAAACATTTCACGACGCTTATCAATGTACCACGAACAAACATAAACATTGGCAAACGAAACATATCCAAAAAGAGTGAAATAAAACTAGAAACATACAAGATCCTACATTTTTTTCAGGTTATTACTAACACGGAATTCATTTGCAAAGAATATAAATGTGGCTAGTTAATAATGAAAAATAGACTTACCTTAATTGCTTGTAACAATTCGTCTCTTTCATCATTACTCTCATGTATTAAAACAAAAATATCTTCATAACCGCCGTCTTTAAGAATAATCCCAGTTATTCTTAAAAACAATGAAATTAAAATGATAAAATGCGTAAACGGCATTTTCTTCTTCTTTCGTTACGAGTCACCTAACATAACACTAGCATTCACGTAAAATAAGTGCGGACTAAATTGCACGATTGGCATAGAGAACATGAGCTATTATCGGTAGCTGTGCATTAGTTGTGGATTTTTGTAGCATTTTTATCACTGATTACCAAGAAATTTGATGCTCCAAAAAATTCTGATTTCAAAGAAGTGTACGTTATGACATATTATAATTTATACTACTTATTTATTGTTGATAAGGCTCTGATATACTAGTATTACCGTCTGTTTTAAGTTCAAGATGCTTATCAAAACGTCTGTAAATACACTTTTTTTCTCAGACATCATACTTTCGAGTGAATGAAAGTATCTATCAGCAGCTTGTTTTAGCAATTTTGGTGATTGTTTTTTTTTTTTTTTTTTTTTTTTTTAAGTTAGTTTGTTTTTGTTTGTTTTGTTTTTGTTTTGTTTTTATTTTTGAGGGAATGTGTGTTTTGTTTATGTGATTTTTGGTTATTTATTTTTTTAATTATTTATTTATTTATTTGATTATTTAATTTCTTATCTTATTTAACTTTATTTTATTTTGTTATGATTATGATTATTATTATTATTATTATTATTATTATTATTATTATTATTATAACATTTTCATTATTATTATTATTAGTAGTAGTAGTAGTAGTAGTAGTAGTAGTAGTAGTTGTATCATTATTATTATTATTATTATTATTATTATTATTATTATTATTATTATTATTATTATTATTATTATTATTATTATTGATGTTGTTGTTGTTGTTGTTGTTGTTGTTATTAATTATTACTATAATTAATTGTAGGGGTCTTGCTTATAACTATTGTATTTAAATTTTTCGCATCATTAAGAGATTTAAGTACAAAAGACCATTATATGGTCAACATATATATACATATCAAACAATTTCCCTTCATGTCCAGTTATCCATGAACTTGTTAAGACAGAAAACACTTAACACTTAACACTAGATTACACACTCCAATCTTCATCAAAGATGAGCGATCAATAAGGTTGTTAATTTGCAGTCAGAAGGCTAATTTTCTATTAAGTGATAACGATTCAATAATGTACGATTTTGAGCTCATATTTCTGAGGGTAAAAAGTAGGTTAAGTTTTGTCGACATAGTTCAGATATTGCGATGGTTTTCACGCTTTACTTGTAAAACAGACTTCAGATATTCCAGATTGCAATGTCTGCCATACGAGCTGGCGCCATTTGTCCCATCGTGTAATTTTCACATACAAATAAACCCAAGGTATCCCAGCGTGCGATGTTAATACCAAACTGAGTCAATGTACCAGGGAGTACAAAAGTTCAAACATTTTCTGACCCAACTATCCCAGCGTGCATTGTTAAGAAATATCTTGTCCGAGGTATTCATGAGGGGAATATTTCACGTGGATCCCATCTTGCAATGTTTCTTAAATTAGTTTACCGCAGTTATCCTATCGTGAAATGCTTCACTCATGAGCTACCTCCAGAATCACATCATGTATTATTTCACATACGAGCTGTTCCGTGGTATTCCGGAGTGAATTGTTTCACACAAGAAATTGTCCCAGGTAACCCAGTGTTCAATGCTTTACACAAGAGCTGATTTCATGTATCCCGGAACAATTCTTTACACAGTAGTTGACAACTTGTACTCCTGTATGCAGTTTTCAAACATTGTATCACACACACAAGCGCGCACGCACACACACACGCACCCGCACCAACACACACACGCACACACACGCACACACACATGGATATGTTGGAAAAGTGCAATTGCACGAGGACTCCCATTTCAATATTCATCATAGAAATCAGGGACAAAGAGGTGCGACGCCTTGATACGGTCTGCAGCAAAAGCATTACTGGGGTGTTTGAAGCTGTTAATAGTTCAACAAAAGTTGTACAGTTTTTTATTGCAATGTAACAGACGCGACGCACGTAGTGAAATACTTTATGGTAATAGATTCGAGTGATTAAAATGTTTTCAGGCAATAGAATTTACGCAAATCGCACAACCGTATATACGGCAATGTGAAAAACGAAAATGGTAAAGATGACAAATGGTAAAGAATAGACACAAATGAAACTAATTGAGTCATGGCAATATAATAGACGAAAATATTAGAAATGTATAAATGGTATAGATGCTAGTGGTTATATTAAAATGCTTATATCAGTATAACGTGGTTAACGTGGTAACATCGCTTATTAACATCCCACCCTCCCTTCCAATGTGTTTTTGTTTAGTTTTTCAATATACATTAACATGTTCTGCTGCCGAGTGTTTATATTTTTCAGATTGAATCCAGCCGGGTTTCAACACTTCCCGTCCGCTCCATCGACACGTGTGCTTGAATTTTACGCCAAGTAAATGTTGCATATTCGACTCAGTCTACAGAAAACATTATATTTCACACATTAAGTAGTTGTTCAATTTGATGTGTTGACACTCAAAGTAATCATTTGATGTTCTCCGCCTGAGTACAACAAACTTTGTATTTTCAATTATTATTTGAGCTAAATGGTACCTTTTATACACTTTAATGCCTATTTTAATTTGCAAGGATATGACTCAACATATGTAACATCGCGTTTTCACCATCGTACTATCGCGCCATCGCGATTTTACCATCGTACTATCGCGTTTTCATCATCATACCATCGTGTTTTCACCATCGTACCATCGTGCCATCGCGTTTTCACCATCGTACCATCGTGCATCGCGGGGACAGACTAATAAATAAAAAGTCACGATTGTCCAAACGGAACACCGTATTAAGGGGATACTGCAAAACATGTAAAAATTATAACTCGGTAAAGTTTGCCATATACAAATTTTGTAAGTGTTCAAGAAAAAGGGCGAAAATTAAATACAATTGCAAAAATGAGAACTCTAACAACATGATGTTCTTTAAAAACATCCGTACTTCGTGGGAAATTGATAAACATTCAGAAAATATTGTTTTTAAAGCCATGATCTGTTGAAAAACAAAAATTGCTTCCGACAAACGTCGCCATTTTGAAAATGCATCACATTAAAAATCAAATATTTGTAAATAGCATCGTCAAATACTATAAAACATTTACATTATTCGATTAAATAACTTTTTTTCTATGTTAAAACAATTTCTCTATTGTCATTGAACAATGCATAAATTGAAAATGCTTGTGAAACTCGGACCTATCTTCAAATATGAGCAGTATATTTTGCCTTACAAAACACCGGGAACAAAAATCCTAATTTCATTGCAAATCTTTGAAATTGTTCTCTTTTAAATTAAAAACTGATTATGGAATGCAGCCAGGATAAGCTTTAAGTTTTTTTTCAAGTTTACAAAATAATATTTGTCAATTAGTTTTTTAAACGGTGATGTACTTGGCAAGGTCACGGTCGGTAGAGAATCTCATTACGTTTGTTTTCGTAAAATTGGTCCGACTCCAGACCATTCTATTTGAATTACCCTGTTACAAGTGAACTTCCCCTTAGTATTCTCCTACGTTCAATTCAGAGACACTTCTCTATCTCTCACCTTCTTGTTGCATAACGAGGAAACCATATCTAAATTAATTAATGAGACAGATGTGTATTCGTGGTTTCGTATACGCTAAATGCACATCACGTCTCACAATTTTTCCTGTTACAAAAAGGCAAACATGTGCTTTTTATTATTATAATAATCGATTTAGATGCTTATCGTGCTTAAAAAGAAGTGCTGAATGTGAAATATAATTGGTGGTAAAAGTGACAAAAACTTTCATTCACAGGCAGATTCGTTGAATTCATATCCCCCGCCGAGTACTTGATAATAACAACCACAAAAAGTGAGAAAAGATTATGCACAAGTTCATATTTTTAAAAAATCAGTATATTTCGTAATTAAGTATTTGTCCAAGTAAAAATCAAATATATATCAAAAACGATTTTAGCAAATGTTCAAAAATGAGACCCAAAAGATCAATGTCATTTCAAGGTCAAAGTTATGAATCATTATAAGTATTGAAGGTTCCCTCTGTACCGGAAATTGTATCCGCATCTCAGATTGGTTTGAATTGTTCCCACAAAATTTCATTAAAATCCTGTTCGTAGTTGCTGGGAAATCGCGCGGAAACAATTTACTCTGTACACAAACTGAACAACCAGCCAGGGGCCACATCTCTTAGCGGGTGATTAGACCAGGACATAAATACGGGACGTAAATATGCGCATATCCTCTTGGTATTGAATTTTTCCACAAAGTTTCATTGAAATCTAGTAAGAAGTTTCTGAGAAGTGCCAGGTAAACGAAATTGAAACGAACGTATGGACAGATGGCTAACACTACGACACACGTATAACTCGGATCATTGGGAAAAAAAACGAAAATATGAAGGTGAAAAGTCGAAATAACGAAATTACGATGGTGATTAGTCGGAGATGCGATAATGACAAGTCGAAAGTACGATGGTGAAAAGTCGAAATAACGAAACCACGGTGGTGAAAACTCGATATAATTTCGTGTTTTTACTGTCGATATTTTGACTTTTCACCATCGCACTTACGACTTTTCATCAAAATAACATACAATGTAGTAGTTTGATAAAATTAGACAGTGATTTGACAAATCATCGTCTAATTTTGAAAAGGTAATACTCTCGTTTCACATTATTAAACAGTCTTTCAACAAGCCAACCCCATCATTCGACAAGGTTGAGTGACAATTTGTCATAATAAGACACATTCTAAACAAGCCAACACGACATTTTGACGTTATAACACTACTATTTGACATTATTAGATACATTCTAAACAAGCCAACACGACATTTTGACGATATAACACTACAATTTGATAACATAAGACACATTCTAAACAAGCCAATACGTTATTTTGACGATATAACACTATTATTTGACATAGTAAGACAATATTCAGACTGGTCGACGGGACAGCACTACTGTTTCACATAACCAGGCAGTGTTTAGACGGATCAACAGAATACGATGGAAAATCAACACTACTATTTGACATAATAAGACAATGTTCAGACTGGTCGACAGGACAGCACTACTGTTTCACATAATCAGGCAGTGTTTAGACGGATCAACAGAATACGATGGAAAATCAACACTAATATTTGACATATTTAGACGCTTTCAGAATGTAAGAACATGAGACAGCTACCGCGTTCCATAATCAACTTTGTTTTTCTAGAGTGGTAGTTTTCAGCTTAAACGACTCAAAAATTTTCGTGGTAAACAAAGCGTGAGAAAACAGTGATTAATTCGTATAGTTGAATAGAAAAATAAATCCTGCATTTATTACATATTAATAAATCATGCACATTTTAAATATTATGAATAATT